AATGCACATTTAAGACGTCTGTGCATGATGCCAAGCGTCTGAGTAAACATTTGAATGCGAGCCTAAATGTCTTGCCATTGCAACAAGTTCAGATGAAAGCGGAACTATTGAAATTGTGTCCCGTGTAATGACATTAATTAGAGCATGTGCAATAATATCTGCATTCCCTTGTCTGTTCTAATTATGTGGTGATGCCGAGGGCCAAATGAAAATAGAGCTGAACTCTACGGGGTCTCATTCATAATCATTTCATACACACACAATCTGAAAAGTGGGGGCATATCTAAATCTCATCAGCCTCTCTAAATACACATTAGAAATATCATTAGTTTTAAATGCCTAGTTGCCACGGTTACACTCATGTGAGAAAGTGCTTGAAAGCATAAACTAAACTTTCCAGAAACAGCATTGTTGTGACAGATATGATATGAATATAAAAAAAATGCATACTTCTGTCAAGCACGGCTTTTCTTCTCTGCTGTTGGTCATGTCTTCCTCAGGAAGTTTACTTTCTGTCAGCGGCTCAGCGCAACTGTGCCAGGCATACTTGAGTCATGAATATTAATTGTTATGTGATGATCACCCTAACTGATTTGCTAAAAGTCATACGTTTGTGAATGCTAGCTTCAGCTGGATTACCGTTTACCATTTGTGTGTTTGTTTACTATCAAAGCAACCGATTGACAGAGGCTTCTGGAACACCAGATCAGAACTGACCTGATTTACTTGTATTAATATACATTCCAGTTCTTATTATTTATAAGGGTGTGCACAAATAGTAGAATATTCGATCTGTAGTTATTATTCTGAAAATAAAAACACTATTTAAATTTTACTACGTGCTGCTTTGCTGGCCGTAAATGCAGGGAATCCATGATGAATCCTAAGCACGCAAACTAAAAGTCAGTTATAACTAAATGCACTGGGTGGCACAGATAGTTAACAAGTTAATTGTATTTGATCACAGAATGTCTTTGTCTGCCTCGTGAAATTTGGAATTACTTTGATCAAATGAATCAGTGAAACGGAGTTATCATAATATCACCACCACAATGAGAAAACACATGAAATCCAAACACCAGTGGACCGAGAAAAGACAGCTGTCCATCACTGGGAAGCCATGATGAATCCGCAAACTAAAAGTCAGTTATAACTAAATGCACTGGGTGGCACAGATAGTTAACAAGTTAATTGTATTTGATCACAGAATGTCTTTGTCTGCCTCGTGAAATTTGGAATTACTTTGATCAAAATGATCTTACTAAATGATCTTACAAAATGGAATTACTTTTGATCAAATGAATCAGTGAAACGGAGTTATCATAATATCACCACCACAATGAGAAAACACATGAAATCCAAACACCAGTGGACCGAGAAAAGACAGCTGTCCATCACTGCATTCACGACTGCGGGTAAACACAGCTGTACCCGAGTGAGCCGAGAAGACAGCTTATCTGATAGCCAAATGATCTTGAGACATATGCTTCCTTTAAGTTTCCTTGAGGGAGAGTGGTTTAAGAACAGAAAACACAAAGCGCTGTAAGAAACTTTGCTTAGCACACCGTTATCTTTGTGCCTCTGGAACGTCTGTGTTGGCACATGGTCTTATCAGACTGAGGAGCCCACTTTCATGTGGATATTATTGTTTTTCCCAACATTAACATGATGTGAGACAATATAAACATAGGCCAACTCGAGTATATGTACATTTTGTAATATAATTGGCACGGTCTGCTTTATTTTTTCCGTTTGCTCTGCTTAAGCTAGAATGCTTTTGTTCTTTTATATATATACATATATATATATATATGTTGTTTACACGTTTTCAACTTAAAGAAAACCTTGAGATATAATTTAAAGTTGTTGTAGAACATTGTTGTGTATAATGCCTAATCAAGCTTGTTCAGAAATTGTGACAAAAAACGTGAGTATTAAAAAAATAACGTATTTCCCGCTAAATGTCAAACGAATATATGAATATTAGTCTTTTATGAGACCAAATATTCTAATACAATATTTTTGACAAATGCCCATGCCTAATTGTTTATTGGAGCATGTTATTCAAAAGAGTTATTTTAGTACATCAAGTTAAACTAAATGAAAATGACAAAAGTTGCCTTGGCAACTAATTAAAATAATAATTTGTTTACATTTTATTCAGTTAACGTTTACTTCAAATAGCATTTTTTTTATTGGTTTTAATTTTATTTTCAGTTTTAGTTTTAGTTAACTATAGTACTAAAGGGTAAAACTGTCATTTAATATCCTGTTTCCCCGAGGGAATACGTCACAAGCTGGAAGTAAAATGGTTCGCAAATGTATTTCATCAACTTTCAAGTCATTAATTAGCCTTTTTATCTTTGCATCCCAAGAAAATAAAACTATTTAAAGTATAACAATTATCAGATCATCTGAATTTTGTAATTTGTAAAAGTGTTTGCCTCTGCACACACGCAATCTCTGCTGAAAATAATTAACTAATCACTGATTGCTCTAAAAAAAAACTTTATTGAATGGAAAGGCTATGTCTAGAAATGACTTTCTTGGGTAATTACATTTGAGATGTTTCGAACACAGCTGATGTGTAGATTCCTTTCCTGAATTTCTCTGAAAATGCCTGTAGCCTTGCCTTAGCACATTGATTAAATGGATTTCCTTCTAGCAACCTGGATATGGTGATTAAATTCACATACGGGAGAGAAGAGATAGAGAGTTGTGGGTAAGCTTCCCTGCATAAGCTTCTTCGGTTAAAACCAGACACTGTTGCCTGAGAAAAACATCTCAACAGAAAAAAAAACATGTGAACGTCATTAGCTGCAACTCTCTAAATCTAGAGATTTTGTTTCTCTTTCCCCCTATGGAACGACTACAGTATTGATTGGCCCCCAGTTTCCCTCCACAGTTAATCCCTACTTGTGTCCAGTTTCATGTTCCCTCTATTACAGACTAACCCAGTCCAGGACTCAACAATAACAATCGCCTGTTGACCCGTGGCCAATGTTACTACAGAGAGAGAGAGAGAGAGAGAGAGAGAGAGAGAGTTACTAGCTGACTGACACAGAGGAAATTGACAAAATTGAGAGAAATACTTGACTGAGAAGCATCTGTTAGAATGGGTTAAAATGTCAAACCAATTCATATGCCATAATTTTCAAATAAAAATAAGTTTAAAATAATGAATAGGTGGTTTAGTGGTATAATTCCTACATATTATTGCAAACCAAAATATTATTTTTAATAGGTTTTTTTAACGGTAATTAATTGTAATTAGTTTTAATAAAAAAATCTGTCACATTTATAAATAGAAAAAAACATAAAAAATAGAAATACATAAAAATAAAATAGAAATACAAAAAACTGTTTAGCCCTGTTTCACAATTATATATATATAATATTATATATATATATATATATATATATATATATAATTTATATTTAAATGTAAATAATTTACATTAGATAATTAGTGACACTGAAAACACCCGTTTTTTTTTTACATTATTGGTGTATTCCAGTTACTTCACATTATTTTAGTTTTTTTGGAATCCAATAAATAATTACAATTAAAGCCTTTATTTCTATTAAAAAGACAAGAGTGACTGATGCAGAAAATCCAATCTAATAAAATGAGTTTGCTGCTTCAATAAATTCCACCTAAATCCAGCCATAACTTGAATCAACCTCAGCGGACAAAAAAGCCAAATAACATCTCCAGCGGTCACAATGCACAAACAATCCCAGCATCCAAACAAGCCTCTGCCATGCTTCCATACGTGTCACGAGAGATGCAGTCAAAATTTCCACCTTATCCTAAACTATATTGACAAGTCTTAAGCAGCTGTCACACACACATGCACAAGCACACTCCCAGCAGTCTATCCAACTGTATAAAAGCAGTCCACTCTCCAACAATAGATTTCCACTGCTCCAGTGAGCCCATCAGTGCTTGTAACTGGCACGATAAACAAGGAAATCCTAATCTCCTCGGAGCAGATAGCGGAAAAAACTCCTCTGCATCACACAACACATCAGAATACATTCACGATAAGAATGAACAGGACCCCATCGACAGGAAGAGAGTGGTCCAAGATTTATGCATGCTTATCAAACATGAGAGGAGAGAGAGAGTGTGAGGAATGGATAGAGTCGAAAAGAAGAGGTATAGGAAATGATAAAAGAGCATGTGATGGGAAACGGAGGGCAGGATGCCAGAGCTGAGAGTGCAAGATTAAAAAAAAGTATTTTTCTGACTTTCCACTTGCCTCTGTGAATCTCTATGTCCCATTAATTCCCTATGCCTCTAAATAAAATCTCCTCATGTCTTAATGTGTGGGTGGACTTTGAATTATTCTTCGCAAGAACCCACAGGGGGATAAATTATGATCAACCGGAGGTACAGAGAGAAATAAATCACCCGGAAATGAAATCCATGATGCTAACGAGGAGGAGGTTGATGCCAATGAATTGAGTCATAAAGCAGTTACATGTTCTTATGTTCGCCTGATGCTGTGCTATGCAATGATTCAAGGGAGGACGAAACAAAATTATGCTTGTTAAAACTTGCTTTTTTTGATTGTAATAAATGTGAAAATTAAATAAAAGCTGTGAAAATGATAATCATGCCCACCACTGAGCCCTGGGGATTGTACTTGTCTGCTAATTTGCTTTAACTCTAACATCGGTGCTTTGAGGTACTGATTACAACATTAGCTCCACTCGTGTGGGGTTGTAGGCTCAACTCATCACACAAAGCCCATGGGTCTCATTTCAAACTTCTAAAAAAACAACAAACCAAAAAACAGTCTGTTCGATGACTATCTGATGCATATTGCGAACAAAGCTGGTTTATTCTGACTGCCTGGCTTTGTATGCTTGTGCAATGCTAAATACTCAGACTTGACATGAATAGGCATTCATGTGACTCCATCTGCCTCTTTTATCAATTCCTGTCACTTTGGCACTGTCCACTCTGTATAAAAAAGTGACAGAAGACTCACATTTTGACAAAGGGGTCTGAGTAGCCATTCGAATCCATGGCGGCGAGGTGAGCACAGCGAATAATTCCCACAATCAGAGAACTCTTCTCTGTGATGTACATCAGAGAGACCAGGATACGACCACGCTAGAGAAACAGACAGACAGACAGGCTTGTTTCCACTGATCAATATTCAGGCCAACAATAGTACATTAAACAATATATGTCAGTACGGTACAAAGGGGCTAAACATCCCCTTAAGAACAATGTGATTGTTCTTCTAGCCCAAAATAACGATGACGGAAAAATATTTATTTTTATTGTATACAGAGGGAGTAACAAAATTTGCATAAAAATATATAAATAAATAAATAAAAAGGGATATTTTACCCCAAGTGTGAAGTAAATGAAATTTTAAATAATTATATGGCAAGATATTTTTGAGTAACATTTGGCAAGATATTTTTGAGTAATATTTAGTAGGGCTGGGTTTTGACACAAATTTCACAATTCGATTCTCATTCACAAGCTTGCGATTCGATTCGATTCAATATTATTTTGGATATATATCAGGTAGTACAGTACATGCCAAATTTTCTCAAGGGAAAAGAAAATCTCTCAACTAATGCTGTAAAATATACATGAGAGTCAGTTGGTACTACATTACTATAATATTGAAGGTTAAAATTTACTGATTTGTTAAAATTACACTTAATTAAGTTTTTAAAATAATAAAGTTACAATTACATAATAATATTTCTACTTCAATTCGTTTTATTTTTTTATATAAATGGTGGATGTCATAAAAACTTGATGGATTTATTCAAACAAGTTAAACATTGAAGAACAGTCAAATTTATAATGAATATGGTATATGGTGCATATATTTAGCAAAATGCCCCTCTCTACAGTTTATTTTTCTATCTGACTAATGAGTTTATGGTCACCGAATATGTTGTTTTGAGGTAAACGTGACGGAAAACACTGATTTAGAGATTACATGTGACAGAATACGAATTGTAAAGTTTTACTCTTTCTTTTAACTTGCCTTCGGATGTTTAGTCATGTTTATTGTGCATGTGCTGAAACTGGTATTAATGTGGAGGAGATGATTAGTTCACGTGCGCTATGCGCTGGCGCGTCTGTTGAACTGAGGCGCTACAGCACGATCTATCACTCCACATTAAACAGCGCCAAAACGGCATTTATTGTTTGAATACTGCAATACAATGGACAGAATCTGAAATCTGAGACTTTGTTTCATATTAAAAGTACCAAAGCACAATGCTTATTATGATATATCAGATGGGAATTCCCTTCAGTGTTCCGTCCATTAACTGAAAACGGGCTAGACTAATTGATTCTTGGGATTTAAGAATCGTTCCGAAAAAATGAGAATCGATTAATAGATATATCGATATTTTTTTACCCAGCCCTAATATTTAGGTATATGCTTAAACCCCTTCAGTAAAGAACCAATTTTGTGTTCATTTAATATATTTTGGCTTTAATAACCTTTTAACTTAAACTAAAGAACAACTTTTAGTAAATGAACATTATATATATTGCAGTTACAATATTAGTACAGGGAAAAATAGTGTGTTGTCTCAAAATACACTAACAAAATTTGGGATCAGAGATTTTTTTAGCTATTTTATTTAACAATTATGCATTGAATTGATCAAAAGTGACATTAATAATGTATAACATTCTATTTCAAAGAAATGCTTCCTGAAAGAAACTGTTTCCAGTTTTGATAATAATAAGAAATGCTTCTCAAGCATCAAATCAGCATACTACAATGATTTCTGAAGGGAAAATGGCTGCTGAAAAATCCTCATTATTTTAAATTGTAATAATATTTCACAATATTGCGGTTTATACTGTATTTTTGATCAAATAAATGCAGCCTTGGTGAGCATAAGAGACTTTTGAAAGGTAGTGTGAGTATATACTTAAAACTCCATGAGCAAAGGATGTTTTTCTGTTCATTTATTTCAGAAGTTCATTCAAATTAAAGAACTACTTTTAGTTAGAGAACACTATATATAATATTCTTACAGGCTAATATTATAAGAATTTGATCTCAAAATAATCATGATAATTTTAGAGATTCTCATTGAATGTAATTACCTCAATCAGCTACTGAACCTGATAACCTTATGGACCAGGACAGTTTATCAGTCCAAAGTGAAAAACAAGTGTTCAGGAAAGTGCTTTTCTTTCTAATTAGTGTTTTGAGATAATAAAAATCAGGTCCGTTTATCCTGGGGGCTTTGTCCTCGTACCCTGAATGTGAGTGTTCTACATTCGGGGCTGTTTCAGTGTAAATAGGGAGTTTCCAGAGGTCTAAAATATGGTATGGAAAGTATCGGATCTTTACCTCTTCTTCTGCAACAAGAACCCCAGGATCCACTGCCTGGCTGTTACCCTCCCGGGTCTGTAAGACCATAGAAAGGTTATTAATAATACAGCAAATGCCCAAACACTAAATTATGCATCGTACAAATTCTAATGGACATAACCTCACAACGGCCACAATGACTCACACACACACACACACACACCTGTGCAATTCTCTCAAGGCCCATGTAGTATTTCTTGCTCTCTCCCTCCTTCAGTTTCTTGAGGGCCACCCTGACTTCACCTATGAACTCATTCCGTCCTAAACGATCCATATCACACACACACAGCCTGCAAGAGAGAGAGAGAGAGAAAGATGGCACTCAGAACTCTTCAGCTCAACTCTCAAGACTGAACGTGTTAGGCGTGTCACATACAGCCATAGAAAGAATATGTCAAGAGAAGCTGAGGCTCTGAGCTGAGAAGTAGGTGGTACTGACTAGAGCAGGGCTGTCCAAACTCGGTCCTGGAGGGCCGGTGTCCTGCAGAGTTTAGCTACAACCCTAATCAAACACACCTGAACCAGCTAATCAAGCTCTTACTAGGCATAGAAACTTCAAGTCAGGTGTGTTGAGGCAAGTTGGAGCTAAACTCTGCAGGACACCGGCCCTCCAGGACCGAGTTTGGACAGCCCTGGACTAGAGGCTGACCAAAATATGGTTTTTGACCAGTTAATTTGTGCTGATAAAAACTTTTGGAACCATCAGATATCTGGATATCTTCCAGTTCAACAGCACCTCTATGAGCACCCGAATATTTCTAAAATTACTTAGAAATGTTGGTGACAAAATTACTTTACTACATAAAATGACTTCTGAATTTAAATTAAGACAATCTGCAGGATTGGATTACTGTATAAAAATAGTCACGCTATAAATTTTTAAACGTTTCATGCATTACTATTCAGTGGCAGAGCTACTAAATCAACAGCATCACAAAATTATATATATATATATATATATATATAATATACTGTATCTGACTTGCAATCTGAACAAATCATAATGATTTAAATGACATGGTTACGGCAAAAACCCCAACAACAATAATTAAAAAAAAAAAAAACTTCTTTTGTAATGTCTTTTTGGATGCACATGTAAAAATAAAAACAGTGCAGCCTGATTCATGAATGATTAGTTCATGAGAGTCTCTTTGATTCATTTCATTTGACACTTTTAATGAATGAATCAACTTTAATCATTCAAAATTCTCCACAACCGCAGAGTAATTTTTTTAATCGTTCAAAAGAGCAAATAATTCATAAGTCTATGATTCATTTATTCATCAGATACTGGGAAAAATTAACGCTTATGTTAGTTTTTTGCACAGATTAAATCATCCTGTTCAACAGTACCTTTATGCAAATCCGAATATTATTAAAATTATTTAGAAATATCAGTGACAAAATTAATTCAGATTAAAATGACTTCTGAAATTTAACCAATCTGAAAGAGTAGATTACTGTATACATAAAAAGTGTCACAATATTAATTTTGAAGCATTTCATCCATCGCTATTCGATGGCAGAACTACTAAATATAAAGCATCATGACAAAATAAATGATACTGTGAGTTGATGTCTCACAATATAAATGAATCATAATAATTTAAAAGACAGTTACTGCAAAAAAATAAAATAAAAACCTCGCATTGTCTTGTCTTGCTGGATGCACATGTAAAAACAAAATAACAGTGCAGCCAGTAAAGTCTGGTTCATGAAGAAATAATTCACAAGTCTATTTGATTCATTACAGTTGAGTACTGAATTAAAAATTATGAATTTATTAAATGGTTGGATGGATGGATAAAGTAAACTTTAATGAGTCAAAAGACTCCACAACTACTGAGTATTTTTTTAATCATTTACTGAATCTGCCAGAATGCTTACTGAATTAACATCTGACTCACTGAACCGCATCATACATTTCACTCATGTCTGACTTGAAACAAACCTCTTTCACAGTGTTTTATGTCCTTAATCCTCTAAGGACGACATTATGAAATATAATGAGAGATTTAAATCAGCATAATTGCTTACTGGTTTAACTGCTGGCTGACTTGAACTCAATTGCATAAAGTTAAAGTTACATGTTACAAGTTAAAGTTCAGTTTTTTATAATGTATTTTATATTTTATATATAATTAATTATATATTATAAAAATGAATAAAGATTAAAATATGCTACTATAAATATATACATATGCCATATTTTTTTCATCAATATATCAATTTTAGTTAATTAGTTAATTTGCTTTTCCCCCACATTAGTTATTGAAACCTGCAAAACCCATTATTGGTCAACCTCTAGTATTGACACTGAGAAAGAGGGAGATTAAGGGAAGGAAACAAAAACAACCAGAATGAGAAAAGAGGAATTTAAGCAAAGGGCACAATGTAAGAGAAGACGGATGGTTTTTACGTCAGCGACAGAGATAGAACGGAAAAATAATATGAATATGAAAAGACTGTGGAAAAAATATACAAAAAAAAACCAATATGAATAAGAATATAATATGAAAAGGAATATGAATAGGAAAAGACTGTGGAAAGAATATACAAGGCAGAAAAACCTGGATGAGAAGACAAATACCCAAATGTAGGAGAGGAAGAACTGAAGTGTTAATGTGGGTGTCAAAAGAGCGAGAGCGCGAGAAGCTGCACATAAGCAGATGACACTGACATCATGATCTTGTTGGCTTCTTGCTTCCTTCTAGGGCTCGATTAGTCATTCCTTCCAGCCAGGTGTGTACATATGCTCACATAAACATATGCACACACAGGAGGTGGATAACAGGTGCTCTCCACTTCCTGTAACCTGTCCTGGGGACCGTTCTTCCTGAAGCTGCTATTTATTACTTGTGGGGTTGAGCTTTTCCTTGTTAATGTCAGTCACAGTGATTATGCCGAGAGTTTGCATGCAGTCAGAAGTCACCAGCATGCAGGACAAACGAAAGACAGGTACTATTCAGTGTTTATTCAGTATCGAACTTGAGAGTCAGATGAGTCATGGGCAGACCCACGCAGAACCTGTGCCTACAGGATTTCACAAAAAAGCTCCACAGGTTTATGCAAAATTTGACTCCTCGTCATTCTGAATTTTTCACACGTTTATTAAGTGGTTCATATGCTAATTCGATTAATGATTTCAGCTACCAATAAGAGTGCAGTACACTCAACTTCATACATACTTCATACAATATCTAAAATCCGACCGACCGACAAAACGATGGATGGATGGATTGACTGATTGACTAATAGAACGATGAATGGATGGATGAATGGCTAGAATGATGGAAAGACTGACCAACAGAATGATGGATGGATGAATTGATTGACCGATAGAACGATGGATGAAACTCACATTTTTCATGGTCTCAACCTAAAAGTGGAACAATGAATTGTTTGACCGATAGAATGATGATAGAATGATGGATGGATGGATTGACCGACAGAACGATGGATGGATTGATGGAACGATAGAACAATGGATGGATAGATGGATTGACTGCCCAATAGAACGATGGATGGATAGTTAGAATGACGGATAGATTGACTGACAGAACGATGGATGGATGGATTGATTGATTGGCCAATAGAACGATGGATGGAGGGATGGATGGATGGCTAGAATGATGGATAGATTGACCAACAGAATGGTGGATGGATGGATTGATTGACCGATATAACGATGGTGGATGGATTGACCAACAGAACTATGGATGGATGGATAGTTAGAATGATGGATAGACTGACTGACAGAACGTTGAAAGGATGGATGGATTGATTGACCGATAGAATGATGGATGGATGGCTAGAATGATGGATATACTGACCGATAGAACAATGAATGGATGGATGGATTGACTGATAGAACAATTGGATGGATGGATAGAATGATAAAACAATGAATAGCTAGAATGATATCTAGAATGATGGATAGATTGACCATGAATCAGTAAATGTATCTAAACAATTTTTTTCACTATGATAAATCTAATTCCTCCACCCAGAACTATCAAAAATGTTGAAAAGTTGTCAAAAATCCCTCCCCACAACTGTATATTAAACATCAAACTTCTGTATTATTACATTATTGCATCATGCATTTTCACTCTTGTGAGAGCAGAAAAAATTACGCTGTAAAGTGTCACGTCTGGTTAGGGCACAGAGTTAGGGTGTTTTTAAAATGTGGCAAAACAAATTTGTCTGCTAGGCTCCTAAAAGAACACTCACACTGCCTACTAATGAACAATGAACACATACTGTATGCTTCAGTGATACCTGTTATGATGACGACTCTGGTAATAGCATAGGATGCTTTTCTATAACGGCACAATAGCACTATTGATAACACGGTCATTCTTCAGAAAATGTTTCCTGCCAATAGCCTGCCACCAGCAGTCATTGTTCTCATGTGGGAAATTACATTCACATGACAAAAGACAAGCTGATGATAGAAAAGACAGAAGGCCATACGGGAGGAAATATAGTAAATACGGAACTACTCGCTTTGGATCAGATCTCCAAAATCTTGCATTACAATGTTTGGATTTTATACATAAAATATGAATTCTTCTCACCTCACCCTTCACTGAACTACTGCAGTTAGGTTTGAGATCGGCCAGCTGTCACAGCCCAGACATAGTCACTGTGACAAGGTGCTGACGCTGCCTGTGGTGACATACTCCATCTATGCCCTGGGCTCCGACAACCTGCTCTTCGGGATGATGGCCACGGAGCGTAACAGAGCGGAAAGTATCATTGAATCAAACTCATCCATTGGGATTCCAAAGTGGCGAGAATCCATGTTCACCACAAGAAACACTTTTGGCAGAATGTATGCAGCTAATTGTTTTTCTTAAACTACAAAGATGTTTCTGTGTTAAACAATTTCACAATTTCTACAATATCTTAGCGTACTGCAGAGGCAAAAATCTCTGGATTGAAGCACTGAGGTAAATCGGGGTTGAGTTAAAAATTCTTTCAGCATGAAACTCAAATTTTTCATGGTCTCAACCAAAAAGTGGAACAAGTAAAGCAAGCGGCTTCGCTCTCTCTTTATCTCTCCCTCTCTCTCATCCCACGAGAGCTCCTACTAGGTTTGTTTCCCAGCTGTGGATCACAAGGGTTTCTATTACATTTCTAGAGAAATTGCCCCTATCTCTTTCTGTCCTCTGAGTTTTATTGCTCAAATTGTACCATACCTCTACACCGAAGGTTAGACCACATTGTGGGTGTTACCTTAAGGTTATTGTGTGTTATTGCACCACAGAAACGTCCACTACACACTGTCGAAGACACACACTCATACACACATGCCCACACACAATGTGCTCCGAGTAGCAATGTGCTTCTGGAGAGTTGACTTGACCTGAAAGTAATGAAATTCACACATGCACACACACAAATGACTCACACGTTCTCATTGTCATTAATACATCGGATGGAGACACTCGCAGGGTTTAACAGAGAGCCATATACTCAAAGGTGAATTGAAAGTGCAAGTAGAACCAAAAATACTTGAAGCTGGTGAGGATAATGGGAAACAGAGGTGGTACAGTACCTGAGGGTTTTGGTGGTCATGTCAGCAGCCGTGATGCCATGATAGATCAGCGTTTCATTCCACACTGGATTCAGCGTGTTCTTTAAAGTCTTAGTGCGTAATTTATTTGCCTGAAAAAGAGAGGAAGAGTGTATTGAGACTGATAACGAAGTTAATTTACACACACACTGGGTCAAGACAAAGCAGCTTGCGCAAAATTTCTGCTGGCTTTGCAACACACATAAATTTTGTTCTTACCATCAGTCTAATATTGATGAACCCAGATTATTGTAAATGAGGGAGCGTGTGCTTCAGTTAGTCATTAGCATAAGACACGGCCAAATCACCTCCATATAAGGGCTTCCACACAACCTCTCCTATCCATTGATCCATCACTCTCTCAAAAGCGAAAACGCTCTCTAAAGATCATTTTCATCTGAGCACATACAGTAATATCTTTTCAGGCAAATTCTATCCCAGACTGAGCTGTAATGGACATAATTTTTATTACTCTTGGATGTAACAATTGAAGTAAGATTTATTGTGGGGTAGCTAGTGAATTTGTATATAAATAACACTGCTGAAAGAAACAACCTAAACCAAAATTCCAGCTTGTTTGTGCTTGTTAGGTTCTCCATAAAGATGTATTTACTTGAAAATAAGAAGCATTTTACACACATATATTATATACAAAATTATGCAAGATAAGACGACTTATTTTTCAGGGAATATAACTTACAATTAAGCTTTTCTTACCCCATTAGAAAAAAATTCCTTTTTAAAATATTGTACCTTAAATCAAGAAACATAAAGAAGAAATTTCTTTAACATGAAGAAATAAAAACTTAATTCAATATATACTCTCTGAAAACAAGAATTTGTCTGTTTTTAATGATGTTTAGATGTTTTTACTGAAACACAAGACAAAAATACTGATGAATACAATGACTTTTTTTCAGTGCAGGTGTGGTTGAAACACATTCTCAAACATTATTCCATTAAAATAAAGCTTTAATTTATCACCATATATCCAATGGAAAGTTTCCATGACTTTTACACAATGTCATCATAGAACAGCACCATGAGCTTATTATTGGGACAGTCCCCCTGGAGCAACATGAGGTTAAGTGCCTCGCTCAAGTGCATAATGGTGATGGTCAAGCTACCCCGCGGTTACCAGCCTGAGCCTTAACCACAACACCACATCACCCCAGTACATCCTAAATGAAGAAACAGAGCTCTAAACTCACCACTAAACCAGAAGCTCAATCATCCCCAAAATAAACATTTTCACATTTCACCACCTAAGAGCATTTGGGGGAATAATTAACACCCCCCAAGCTCCATCTGTGCAGAAATTACCACCGCTGTAAATAGTTTCTCAATTTAAAGAATCTGTTAGAATCAGATGCTGCTCAGATGTGCTACCGTTGTTTGCAGTTTGTGCAGAGGGTGGTGATGTAGTGGTTAAGGCCAGTAACTGGAGTTGAAGCTGAAGTTTTATGTTGTAGTTTTATCTTGAATGAACATCACCGAAATATGTATAAATATGGATTTGCACATAACTGCACATTAAACATCAATATCGATACTGCACCACATTTTTCGGTTTAATGATGACAGACTTTTTTTGACAGGGAGATCTTATCACATCATGAAAATGGCTCAAATGGACATATAATAAATGAAGTTTTATGTTGTAGTTTTATCTTGAATGAACATCACCGAAATATGTATAAATATGGATTTGCACATAACTGCACATTAAACATCAATATCGATACTGCACCACATTTTTCGGTTTAATGATGACAGACTTTTTTTGACAGGGCGATCTTATCACATCATGAAAATGGCTCAAATGGACATATAATAAAATAAAAATACATAAAATATAAATATGAAAACATAAATATGTATAAACGTAATATAATTTAAGAATATAATATAATTCAAAAAATAAATATAATTAAAAAAAAATGCAGGATAATTTTTTTTTTACAGCTGCTAAACAGGTGTAGTAATAATTAAATTTTGTACCACGTGTTTAACCAAAAATAAATAAATAAAATCTGAAATATTAATTATGATTTATTTAATTATGACAAGGACACAGAAAAACTTAGGAAGTATCCAGCTACACCTAACAAAGTACATAAATAGTTTGAGACAGAGGTGTCATGCACTTTTTGCAGTCCTGGCTCATTTTGTAGCCAAGGTGAGATACATTAAGACGCAGAGAGAGAGAGAGAGAGAGAGAAAAAACTTTTATGTAAGTGTAAGACTCAGCTGGACTCTCCAAATTTAGATAACTGAAAGTGCTAGTGTTTCAGAACCTATTTTGCCTGCAATCATTTTTAAGAAATAGGATTTTTAAATCTACTTGGACCAAAAATCTGAGGGGACACATGCCCATAGAATGAGCATGATGCATCTGGGTAGAGATGACAGTGGGAGAGATGAAGATGAGAGTCAGTCAGGGAGGACAGTTGAGGAAACATCATTTATCTCTTCTCCCTCAGGTGAAAGGCAGACATCTGCTCACCTACTTTGCAGAGGAGAGAGATAGGATGGGAGGCTTTCCCCAGCTCACCTCCCCTCTGTCACAAACACAATCATCATTACCCCTTCTGTTTCTTACCCTAAAATCTGCTCCCACTAATACTCACATACATACACTTATTTACCTAGCTTTCTAAGTGAGCATATAATGAGCAATGATACATTTCTGTTTGTTTTTATATTTCAACTCATTTTATATTTAACTAAACTATTTATAGGATTAACCCAAACCCTAAAATAAGCTCATTCTCTAGTGATAGAGCGATAACAATAGTTAGAGTGATAGACACTGATATTTAGAGCGATAAACAGGATGGCAGACAGATAGATGGACGAACGGATAGACAGACAGATTGATCATTTTAAAGCATTTTCAATATATTAACTATTTATTTTATTAATATTATTATTACATATATTTGTGTATGTGTATGTTCATTATATATGAACTTTAGCTTTCTCTACAAAGCAGGTGATTTCATGTTTTACTATCCTTGTGGGCAAAAGCATCATACCCATGAAGACAATTTTAAAAGAAACTTCCAAAAATGTATGTTATTCATTCATTTGTATTGTTACTGTAAGTAAAAAAGGTGTTCCATCTCAATCTGGCCAGTTCAACAGAGTCAAAAATTCTGTCATCATTCATGCACACCCATATTGCTCCAAACATGCATGACTTTTCCCCCTGTAGAATAAAATGTCAAAATTGCTCTTTTCCTGCCAAAGAAAAAAGTATGCTGATGGCTGGCTGTCAAGTTCAGTTAAAATTTTGCTTGGTATATTCAAACAACAACAACAACAACAACAACAACATCATATTAGGTTGGGACTTGAACCCGGGTCCCCTTTCACGCAGCACAAAAACTGTAACACTGAACTCATCTCACACAAAACACTACAAAGCCAGTAGAAAAGTGATTTTTTCCCCCCTGTAGTCATGTCACACCCTGCCTAGGGTACAGAGTGAGCCAGTACCACCGCTGGTACTCCCTGAAAAATGGTTCCACTGCTTGTGGGGACGTTTGCTCCTCTCAATGTAGGCCAAATCTGACCACCCACAACACACACACACAAATCCACAGCTCACCATCACCCCGGCTGTTTCTTCCTTAAAATTCTGCTCCCACCCCATACTCTCACATTCTCAAATTCCCAAACTGGGCAATTACCCTGCAACAGCTCGTTTAGCAAATTAGTGTTAAATCAAAGAAACGCTCTAGCTGTAAAGACCCAAACACAACCTCCCAAACCGCAGCCTCTCTCTCGCTCGCTCTCTTGACAGAGCGAGTCCACGTCATTCATTGCCTGAAGAACATGTTGCTTCTCTGCATATTTCATTTCATCTCCCTCTCGCTTGCTCTGTTCTACTCTCTGCGCTGCTGCATTTAAAGCTGGAACCAGCCAAGCTTGGCTATCCTCTCTCTCGTCCCCTGAGGATGCTCGGCAAATTAATAAACACACTTTAATTCCAACAGACATTAGCAAAAAATATATGTGACAATTCATTAAAACAGCACCAACTGAGCAAATAGCTACTGGGACTTGAAATGCACCATTCAAACCACAACTGATTTAATTGACAGACACACATATTACTGTGGAAGTACCATGGTACAGTGATGGCGTTAGAAGACTATACTAAGTGTTTAACATACAGTATTTACCATGGTATTTACAATTCAATAAGAAGGTACCAAACATTACATGTCAAAGTACCATGGTATTACAGTATTATCTGATAGCATCCCATACAAAAATGTACCTTCGTACAATGGTAGTACAACCGTATTCCTGGAAATATATAAATATAATATATATACATATACATTACAGTTTAATGTTTTGGAAAGAAAGTCTAGAAAGAACAGTTTTCTATTTCAATAGGTTTTAAAATATAATTTATTCCTGTAATGACAAAGCTGAATTTTCAGCAGCCTTCAGTGTCCCATGATCCTTCTCAAATCATTCTAATATACTGATTTGATGCTCAAGAATATTATTCTCAATGGTGAAATGGTGAAAACAGTGACATTTTTCAGGATTCTTTGATGAATATAAAGATTGCCATTTATTTAGAAATCTTTTGCAATATTATAAATCTCTTAATAGAAAAGTGCACTAAGAATAAACTTTATTTTCATGTTGACTTTAAACTTCAGTGATTGTTAAGTGGAATAAAAGCATGGCACTTTAGACAGTAAAGACTGTGTTAACCATAACAACATAGTATTGGTTGTACACTCATATAATCAGAGTTTGCCTTTCAAGCATTCATCAAAAAAATGGCTAATTACCCCTACTACCTTTTCAGCTATTTTTCTCCAAGCTCCTCACTCATATTGCATATTTGCCTGCAACAGCATATGGTTTCACCGGTCTCTCTCCTCCTGCCAAATCAGTGCTATCACATTTTCTTCGAAATATTTTATCCTCAACTTTCACTTCTCTCTTTCCCCTTTTCTCTCTCTCGCTCTCCCTTTCCTCCCTCCATCTGGCCCAGGGCAGTGAGATTCCCAGAACAGCAGCTTGGGAGAGGTATCTCATTATCCACGCTGTGTGATGATGACACACACACACACACACACTCGACTAAGAAGGGGCCACTCTCCAGCCCTACAATCTCTCCCTCCCTCTCGCTTTTTTCCTTATGCTTCCTGCACTTTTTATGGGAGGCTGATGGAGTTCCTGCACAAGAGGAAGGGATAATGACTCATCGCCATGTTGTCCCAAAGCTGTGTGACTTTCTTTACACTATCTTTACACTCATCAGAAGTTCAGGTTGCCATTTTCCATACAATGAAAGTGGATGGGGACTAGCTATTGTAGCATTTATTAATATTTTGAATTAGGTTTTATTTTTATATTTTCAGTTTTCATTTTTATTTAGCTTTTAGTAATTTTGTAATGTGCTATTGTCATTTTTAGTATATATTTTTATAAAGCTTTAATTTTATTTTAGTTTCACAAATTTTAACAACACCGGGTTAAGCTCTCTTAAACGTTATAAAAGTAGCCCATATGATTTGTGTGCTAAATTTAAATTGTTCTGAAGCAATACGATGCTTTAAGTGAGGGACAGAATCAAATGTAATATGTGACTACTGAAAATCTTGCATAGCAGTTATGGTCACTATTCACTTTTATTGTACGGAGTGTTGTTTAGGCAACATTTCTAATATTTTGAAAATTTTGAAGCTTTTATTTTTATATTTTCAGTTTGTTTTAGTAATTTTGTTTTTAACATTTCTAAATAGCTTTAATGCATTTTTTTATTTCAGGTATTTTAGTACTTTACCTTAAAATGTAAAAAAATTTGACTAATTAGACAATTATTGTTGTCTTGACAACTAACTGAAATAAATAGATTTAAATAAAAAAAACTAGTTTTCATCTTATATTTATTTATTTTTTAAATACGGAGTATGATTTAGTGCTTTAGTTTTAGGTTCACAACACTGGGACAAGCCCTCTTAAATATCATAAATTAGAAATAATGCCTTGACAACTATGTAAAATAAACAAGTTTAAGTTTTTCATCTAATATTTATATTTTATTTCAGCTCTTTTTTTTCTTTTTTTTACACTGAATTACTGAAAACGTTTTAGTTTTAGTTAACAACACTGGGTCAAGCCTTTTTAAATATCATAACAATAGCCCATGACATGTACACTATATTGCAAGCTTTCCAACACTTTCTGTGAGGAACAGATTGAAATATAAGATGTGACTACTGAAAATCTTTCTTAGTAGTTATGGTCACCATTCACTTCCATTGTACAAACAAAAAAGCTCTTTTTATCTTTCACAAAAAAGAAGGACTGTCATATGAAATCGAGTAAAAGACAAAATATTTATTTTCAGGTGAACTATTCCCTTAATAATTGCATATGGATGCATATGAAAGCATGAAGTGTGTAAAAGGACAAAAGGAGAGAGAGTGTTATAAATGGGTTCTTTTAATGCCTGCACGCCCACGTACATACCTGAGCGTGTGTGTGTCTGAAGGTGGGCATCTCCGGCTCGTACACCTTTTAAAAGCCCGGAGGTGTCTGTATAACCCTTGCGGTCGATATTTACCAGGCTGGTGTGTGTGGGAGCATACACAAGACGTGACGCTTCTCGTTTTCTCTTTCCCTCTCGTACATATACACTCCTCTGTTGACGTGAGTCGTGTAACAATCTGTGCTGTTTCCATGACAACCACCTGCTGCTGTCCCCCCTCATCTGTCTCTCTCTTTTTTCCATCCCTTCCTCCCATCCTGCACTCAACGCTGTGTTGGTATTCCAAGGTCAAAGTGGGTCATGTGGCGATAGACAGAGAGATAGCGGCAGAGATTTGGACGAGAGTGCGGGAGGACAGAAAAGAGTAAAAACCGCTGGAGAGAAGACATGACGCTTCTGGCTGCTCCTGTCTCAGCCTGGCCTGCTCTGAACAGATTAGAGCGCTGTGCATTCGTCACATGTGATGAAAATGAACGGAAATGAAAGAGAGAATAATTCAGTGCTGAAGCACTCACTGAATCCACCCATTTCCACCGCATGTTCTCCACATGAACAGCTTCAGTGCTCAAGGGTGGTCCCGCCAGTGATGCATGCTCACATGATGCCTGTGTGTTTTGTGCAACGCACGTGTTGACGTGTGTGTGTGTGTGTGTCGGGGAATCGTAACTTGTGCTGATGGTGCAGCGAGAGTTGAACCATGCTGTGTGCGTGTGAGAAGGTTGCAGTGACCTTGCTTGCTCCAGGCAGGAGGTGGAGTTTCACATATGGATCCGCCAGTCCATTGGAGTCCATGGCCTTCAACCCCTGTGGGCACAAACAAACACATAAAAGCACACAGACTTCATGTCACATAAGATGCACACACATGTCTGGGGTGAGAGGTTGATGGATCATATCCTTACAGTGATATGCACACTTTCGGGTGCATGGTTCTCTGTATGGAGTGGACCAGAGGCGAATCCTCGAACTCTGACATGGGTAACATTAAAGTCAAGACTGTTCAACTTAGAAAAACATTTTTGTTTGTTTGTTTGCTTAAGATTGCAGTATATTTTCATTTGGGAGATGACAAGCAAGCAAATTTTATGTTCAGTAAATTATCTGTTTAAAGGGTTAGTTCACCCAAAAATGAAAATTCTGTCATTAATTACTCACCCTCATGTCGTTTCAAACCCGTAAGACCTTCGTTCATCTTCGGAACACAAATTAAGATATTTTTGATGGAATCTGAGAGCTGTCTGACCCTGCATAGACAGCAATACAACTGAAATGTTCCCAAGTCCAGAAACATAGCAAGGAGATCTGTAAAATAATCCATGTGACATCAGGGGTTCATCCGCAATTATACGAAGCTACGAGAATACTTTTTGTGCACCATAAAAAATATCTTAATTTGTGTTCCGAAGATGAACGAAGGTCTTACGGGTTTGAAACGATATGAGGGTGAATAATTAATTCATTTTTGGGTGAAAAAATAACCCTTTAAATACATGCTACTCGCTTCTTTTGCTGGTCAGTTTTAGTGGTGTTGGGTAGAGAAATTTAAAGAGGACATTTTATTGAACAATATTTTGTAAATGAGTGCAGGATGAGTCATCAATATTAATAAAGACCCATGTATTTATAGTAAATGAAATAAAATAATAATAAATAATAATGACATAAAATACTAATAGCATATTGAAAAAGATTTGTGCAATTTGTAAATATTTCAATTTTAAAAAGAACTCTAATCAAAGATATCCGACTAAAAGACACAAAACGTAAATTTTGTTAAAAGGGTGTTCAGGCACTTTTATGTTCCAGTAGTTTACTTCAACTTTTTTGTTTTTGTAATATGAAAGTCACATTGAAACGGTCTTGGAAACGTTTTAATTTTTCCTTGTATGTACAGATTTTCTACTTTTGTCCCCAGACCAAGACATTTAATCTCAAAATATGAAAACCCACGATAAACACATTCATTATTACATTCTACAACTACTTGTTTTTTCTCCCAAAAGCACATTTTGCACAATTTAATATAATTTGTGTCATTTCCAAACTAGCTGTAATTCTGTCAAATGATGCAAAAAGTGTAAAAATAGAACTTTATTTTAATTGCGATACATAAAACTCTAGCTATCTAGCAAGACAGCAGTCTGTTGTTTTATTTTTTTTAAATGTTCCATCACAGATTATTATTAAACACAATACATCATTTTAGAAGTGGTGGAAATGCTCATTAGTTTAGGAAAAAAATAACAAAAACATCAACTGTCGGACATTGACAGTAGACGAGTGATAGTGTGGAAAGCATGCTTTAAAGTGTTTATTTTCAAAAACTGCACAAGCCCGAAAATGTCTATAGTTGTAGAAACACCCAGCAGTGTTTGTGTGAGTGTAAACCTACTTTAGCCTTGTGGACGGTGCAGTGCAAGCAGTTATTTTCTTGGTCAAATAGCAGGCTGAACTCCAGAGTTCCCAGGTAGGCTGAAAGAAACAAAGGAATAACTTAATGACTTGCATGCACATTAGCAAAAATAGCAGCCAATAACAACCCAAATGACTTAGCTGGGAATCAGTCTTGCCTGCAACGACCTAATCAGGGCTGTGCACATACAGAGGGCTTGTAGTGTTTATGCATCATTACAGAGTCTAATGAAGTATTTAACACTCCAATCGCGTACCTCAGTTATCACACGCACTCGCACCAATCCAGCAAACACCACACAAAGCAATCAATACCGAACAGTATGAGACTGAGGTCCAGGCCGATGGGAAGCGCTCATGCCTCATTGGCTGCTTAGTGGTGAATAAAATCAGTCAATCAAACAAAGGGAATCCAGAACAGAAAACATCACATTCATGAATGTGAGGAGTTATGTAATACAGAAGCATGTTTTTACATTATGTGAAGAAAGAAAGAGATTGGGCTGATGTGGTTAAAGAATTGGGCTTGTAATGGCAAAGTTTGTAGGTTCAAAGGCCACAAGGACTCATTCTAGTACTATTACCATTGTGTCCTTGAGAAAAGCACTTAACCCCAGGTTGTACCAGAGGGATGTCAGTAGATGGGTGAAAAACGCATCAGCAGAACGATTACTTGGAGAAAGAGCAGAGCGTAAACACATGTGTAAGCCACCCAAAGGGAACCCAATGTGAAACAGTCACTAGCCACGAGGCAAACTCACTGTCATCGTCATCCGAGTCGGCAAACTCTCCGTTCTCCCCTTGCTCTCTCTCCCTCTTATGGTCTTTCTCTCCATTCCCGTCTTCGTCCTTGTCTTTGTCCTTTAGAACCTGTTTCTCCCGGGGTGGAAGGGGGGTGATGGGGAAGTCGTGGAAACGAGGGAAAAAGTCAGAGATCTGTGGGATGGGGAGGATGGGGCCGGGGCACACATTGATGGCAAAGTGCTCCTGCATGGAGATCTTGACTGGGGAGGGAGGAGGAGGCAGAGCGGGGCTGGGGGGACCCACAGCGGAGGGAGGGGTGGAGGGAGAGGGGGAGGTAGAGGAGGATGGAGGCAGGGAGAGATGGGAGGAAGGGTTACTGGGAGGGAAATGGGAATGGGGCGGAGGTGGTTTGGAAACGCTCATCAGGACCACTGGAAAGAACTGTGGAGAGAAAGAAAGAACTTTTTAAAACAACATAACTAAAAAATGTTTAATTAAAGAAAAAATCTGTTTTACACAAATAAAATATAAATACTATGTATGTTGTGGTCAACCTTGGGTTGTTTTAAATGTGCTTTATTAATAAATAATGAAATGAAATGTATTGAAATAAAAACAAGATAACATTGACCCATGTGGACATCCTGTACATCCTTCTCATCCCATAAACTGCAATCAAAAATCATCTTATTAATGTGCTTTTTTTGGGGGTCTAGTTTTCCTAAAAATATATACAGTATATAAACATCCTTAAAACAAGATCCTTAAAACTTACTTGAGAAAGAAAATTGTGTAAGATAATGGATTTGTTTTCAGGTAATTTTGTTTTTGAATAAAATTTATTTGGCATTTTTAAGTTAAGCTTAAGTTTTTTCATGTTTATCACGTTACCAAATATTTTTTCTTGTTTTCAAAATAATTCCAATCAAGTTTTATGCTTTATGCAAAAAAAGAAAGAAAAAAAGTTATTTTCCCTCTTCCCTTAAAATAAAGTAAAAAATAATAATACTAATTAAATTACCCAAATACCATTAATTTCCCTCGACCCTTAAAAAAAAACTTACATTTAAATTACCCCAAAATTGGCAATTTCCTTATACTTTCACTGTGGAAAAAAGCAGCTCGGACAGTCTGCTAAATATCTTCTTTTATGTCCCGTAAAAACAAAGTACAGGTTTGGAAAAACATGAATGGAGTAAATCGTTTTTGGTGACATATGCCTTTAATTCAAAATCTCTTACCTTACACAATTTCAACCAATTTGGTGGTGCCAATTTTTGTCCTGAGCAAAACTAAAACAAAACGTTTGATGTGACAAGTGAAACAGAAGAATGTCCCACGGCCCCTGATCCAGACAGATAAAGATGTGTGACAGACTTTCAGCTGATAATATCTTTCATTACCAGTAATGCGGCTGTTTTGATTACACTACCTCCCTAAGGACAGAGATATAGGCCTAGTGTCTGTTTCATACGAGTCCTCTTCTGTGCGTTCTATCTCAGTCTCACACATTCAATTTCAACCTGTTTTTCACATCTTTTCCTGTAGTTCGTAAGATTCTTGTCTTCTACTGTCCAACAAGCCAAAAATAGAATAAGCATGATAAAATGTCACTGTTATGAGTCAAAACAAAGTTTTTCTCCCTTTTTTGTTTAGTGTGATTGATAGAAATGTCACATAAATTAATGTTACCTAAAAGTCTAAAATATCAAACACACAACACGCTGCCTGATTTTAGTTCACCTCTTCCATAATTTGACTAAAAATAAAATGTTGCACAAAAAATAACATCACAATCAACAATAATATTTGCAGATGTGTGGCAAGACAGTTATTTCAACACGTTCATACACACAATGAGGCTACTGTTATGCAAAAACACTGTCACACGCACACAAAGGCAGTCAGGCTGAATAGCATACACATGTTGGCAAGCACAGAGACACAGCACATGCAGAGTTAAGCAGAAGTGCAAATAAACAGCTACTAGTACACAATCATTAAACCCGACTTGAAATGTGTTCACTCATGAAGAAATACACCTGCAGGCAACATGCATGCATGTGGACACAGACACACTCACACTAACAGGTGGTCAAGCTGATACATAAACATGCATTATCAAGTGCACAAAAAAAAGGCACTCAGACAGATATATACACACACTCTCACCCACCCAATGACAGTCTTCATCTGTTCATGCACTCCATCTTGTCTTCACTCATGGTCTCTCTCACACACACTGAAGAGAAACCACCGTCGTTTTGTATCAATATATCCTCCCTCGTTCTCTGTCCCTCTCTCTCTCTCTCTCTCTCTCTCTAACTCGTTTCAATCTCTGAGTCGGTTGTGACGGTTTCTTGAAATTCTCTGCGCACCGCGCTCACTGATCTGTCACTCTCACCGTTTATTTACTGCTAAGATTTAACAATGAGGGAGAGAACGTTGAAAATGAAGAGAGAGAGAGAGAGAGAACATATGAGGACATATGAGAAACTGAATAGCCATAGTGAGTTCGTAAAAAGATAAGAGGAAGAAAGAACTGCAGAGAAGTTACAGTATGTACAGAACACCGGGGCTAGTTGTCACATGTGAATATTTTTGAAGTCACTTTCCGTATAGGTATATTTAAAGGAATAGTTCATGTTTATAAGATTCAGTTACTCACTCTGATGTTGTTCTAAATCTGTATGATTTTCTATATTTTGTGAAACACAAACGATATGATGAAATTGAATGAGGACTGTCAAGGTCCAAAATGACAATTGACACTATTAACATACCACAAAAGCAGTCCATACGACTCATGCACAATATTCCAAGTCTTCAGAAGCCTTATGGTAGCTTTGTGTAAGGAACAGATTAAAATATAAGTTATTCGCCGAAAATCCTGCACAAGCTCTCCTGTGGCGTTGATTCGCTTCGTGAACGAGTCATTCTTTTGATTCAAACCTTTTCGGTGAATTGGTTGACCCAGTTCAGAAAATAGGACTAAATGATTTGTTCAAACGAATCGAACTGATTCAGAACCTGTTAGAACTTGCAGTTTAAAGGGGTCATATGACGTTGTTAAAAAAGAACATTATTTTCGCTTTCGTATTATAAGACCAAACGTATTATAAGTAGTTTCGCTTTCACAACGAAACACACAGCGTCTTCACGACATGGCGGCGGCGGCAACAATACTACAGCGAGAATCAAAGTTACGCCTTCTTTCTTTGCGTGAACATTTGGGCGGTGTTATGCAAATCTTCCCACATAGTGACGTAGACATGTGGGGGCGTGTTTAAACGAGGCGTTTTAGGGGGGCGTGGACAAGTCTTAACTTTTATAAAGAATATCTCTTTGGGTTTGAGACTTTAGTCTTTGCAACTTCAGGGATCTTATCTATGCACAATCAGCTTGTAACACTCCAAAGAGAAAGGAAAACTTGAAATCGCATCATATGACCCCTTTAATAGCCTATTAAATGCTAGCAGTAAATCAATTATGAAACACAAAATGTTTAATGAAATGTATGTTTGCCAGTGTGATTTCATTGTGTTTACTTGTTAAAACAACACCTACTGTATGATGATATTTCATTATTTTATAAATTATTTTACTATTAGATTTTAAATGATTATATTATACATTTTAGCTTGCAGAATAAAATTCACACACACACAAAAAAAAAACTAATTTCAGACCATTTTGAACTAGGTATTTAAAAACCAACATCCAAAAATTACTGTTAATATTTCTGATATTTCATAATTATTATATAATTAATCATTAACCCAGTTTACGCCTACATGTATGCTGTTAAAGCAAGAGTAGAAAGATTTTTAGTCAGGAAAAAGTATCTCTAACAGAAAAACTGCACAAAAACCTCAAAGCTTTGCTGCCGCACTGGCTATGGAAACAATGGATATGGGTCAGTGACAAAAAGGGGTTGTTTTAAAAGCATGCATCAGGTATTTTAAAATGTACACAGCGTGTTTATGTTGATTTTATGTAATTAAAAATGACATATGTACCATTTATTTTTACAAAAGACTGAATGTACATGAAAATGTCAAATGGTGTAACCGCCAAAGAATGAGAAATATTAAATATTTTATCCACCTAGATGGCATGTAAGCTTACTCATAGAAATAAATACTTCATTTTAAAATATCACACAAATATAGATTTTATTAGAGTTATCTCTAAATGTAAATTTTAATGCGTTTTTGCAATAAATGGCAGGACATATGCTGAAAATACCTCTGTTTTCTAAATAATCTGACAAATTATGTAAAAAAATATTAAAACCATATAATTATACTAAACTAGATGACTACATTTTATTCCACATTAATTTTCCTGTATATAATTATATTTTTATGAAAATTACTGGTTATACCAATTGACACAAACCAGTTACACCACTTGACCATGTTGCTTCTACAGCCAAAGGCCATTGTTTGTTGAAAAAATTGACACTGAAAATCAAGCATGACTGTCAACAAGTTCAGCTGAAGTGTTTTTTTTTCCAATGCTAAAAAAAAAAAATCTCGCAACATGAAATTATCATAGTGATGAACAGTGAACTCATGTCTCATATTGTAATTTTAATTTTCTTATTGTAATTTCTTACTGCATTGTGATATCTATTGGGGAAAAAGGGGCTCTGTTATATCATATTAAGTATAAAATACATACAATTGTATTTTACAGATTGTAATCTTTGGTTAACATTTTTTATCAGTGAATTGTAAGATTCAAATATTCAGTGAATATGTTCAAATGTAGACACCAACTTCCTTCTGCTACATTATTAAATAATTTATGTATACATTACATTATATTATATGATACTATATTGCTTAAAGGGATAGTTCACCCAAAAATTTAAATTGCCCCATGACTTCACTTCAGGAAGCCTATATTAACCCCCGGAGCCATCTGGAGCACTTTTTTATGATGGATGGATGCAGTTTATTGGACTTCTATTGGACTATTGAATATCGCCTATTCACTGCCATTATAAAGCTTGGAAGAGCCAGGACATTTTTTAAATATAACGCTGATTGTATTCGTCTGAAAGAAGAAAGTAATATGCACCTTGGATGGCTTAAAGTTGAGTAAATCAGGTGGTAATGTTCATTTTTGGGTGAACTATCCCTTTCAATTTTTAAGTGAATGGAATAGAAATATGCATTAAAGCTAAACATTTTAAAAACACTAATGTGCAACATAATTATTTTATCCTAGACTTAGAGCTTTAATAATAAAGTTGTAGATAAAGAACCACTTTCTCAAAAAGTATAACATTAAACACTTGAAAATAGTTTCAAATAGTAGACAAGTTTATATTACATCTTTAATTAGCATTATAAACTAGTGATATTTGACTAAATTGGCCCCTACCAGAAAGGCTTGTAATAGGAATCAAATGGTGTAACCGGTTACACCAC